TACCTCCAGCCCCAGCGTGTCTGTAAGTGTCCGTGAACTGGTTTGACATCTTTGGCTCAGTTCCGTTTCATTGGTCCGCCAAAGGGAAGACTTACAGTTAGCCCGGTTTTCACTGCTTTGGGGTGTGTGCATGGTTGCATGTGTACATGGGTGGCTAACTTAGCCGTTAGCATCATACTGTAAACCTGAAAGTAGCCCCAAACAGTCCTGCAGAGGGAAGTTTGTCTTGCAAGCTTTGCGTAAAGTTAACTGCCTCACTTTTATACTCAATGTGTTGTTTTTTTTTGCAAACTTTACTTTACTCTCACTTAGCTAGATCATGTAACCGTTTGCTAACTTCCTCCCTGGGAAACCCAAAGCAATTTCAAAAACAAACTAAACCGCAGCTTTAATTAGCAGGAAAAGTAATTATTGGTTTATTCTATATGAGCATGCACCTGGACTATGCTGCTTTCTGTCATGTCAGCACCACATCTACACATTGATTCCTATGATCTCGGGTTAGTGGAGTGACAGTGAATGGGGAGGAGCTGCCTTTGAAAGCGGGTTAGTGGGACAGGCCTGTCAGACCCTCAGACACTTTGAGGCTTCCCACGCCTGGCTTCAGGGGCTCTTGACCCAGACCGATGGAGGGCGGTGGTGTGGCTGCCGTAGACGAGACCTAATGCCATCACCCAGGAATATGATGCGTCTGTCAGATGGAAGATCCTGAAGATCCTGGCCTCTGGTTAACGCTACATGACAGGAGTTCAGCCACATACAGCCCAGTTTAACCTCAGTGTTCCACGTTTCAAGGCCAGTTTGATGGAGTATCACATTGGACAGACATGCACAACTACGCAGAATGTATAAGGAAAATCCCTAGCAGCGAAATGGTCAACAAACATTATAAACCTCAAAAATATTTAAAATCCTTTGGGGCGTTATTCAAATGGCTGCAGCACTTATTATTTTATTATGGCTTTTGGAGACATTTAGACTCATGTCCATTACAACCTTGACCAGTCCGCGGCAGATCAAATAAATCCCACACATGATTTATGATTTAGTTTCTCACTGTGAGACTGTAGCTGTAGTGTGGCGGTGAAAGGATCCCGGGCTGAGGTTACCAGCTGCTTGTCATGAGACCCGCTCCTGATGGGGAGCAGCCATGTGAGTGCTCTTGTGAGATGCCTGATGCTGAGAGAGGGGGGAGGGGGGGGGGGATAAAGGGACTGCAGAGCAGAGACTTGTGTGGAGGAAAGAGCTGTGGATGAGCTCCAAAAAGAGAGATGAACATCCATGAGAGGCACAGCTGGAATTCCATTGTCACTTCAGGGCCTTTTTCTTGTACACTTCCTCCCGATCATTTTATCAGCGCTTTTGCAAATTATACTCCGGTTTCATTCTATTGACCCATCAATTAATAAAGACATTGTTTTGCCTTCAGCACAGTGGGGAGCAGCCACCTTACAACGGTGGCAGTGGTGTAATCTGCCTAGCAGCACACCAAACCCCCTGTTCTCATTGGCTGTAAGGCCACTCCCTACACATCTGTGCAGTGGCATGGTTACCATGGAGATTAGCCTGTGCATTATATCCCAGCCATGGCTTATTATGGTATGTTGTTTTAATCACATATTAGAGCTATACAGCCCCCTAAATTCATCAGCAGTGTGTGAGGGCTATGCAGAGGCGTAATGGTCTACTGGTATCACATTGCCTTTTGAAATCTGCTGAGCTAGGCAGTTTTGCAGGTGTGTGTGTGCAGGAAGCATTGGAGTCCGTGCATGGACTCCTATTTCTCCCGCGTCACCATATTTTGCCTTGAAGGCAGGCTGTTTGGCTGCTGATGCAGAGAGCATCATTCAGGCCCAGTCACGTCCTCCATCCTTCCCTCTCAAGCTTCTGCACCTCCTGAACTCTCCACACAATCTTCCTCATCCGTCATCACGCACCCTCATCATTCACCAGCATTAGCAGTCTTCGTTATTGTTCGCTGTCCCATGTCTGTGCGTGACCATCCATAATGTATGTATCTGGGTTTTTTTTAGGGGGGGGTTGACCTGTTTAGTAGCCGGGATTGACAGATTGATGCCAAAAGGGAAAGTTCCCTGAGATTTAGGAAGGGATTACCAAAACAGGCTGGGATTAAAATTGTGTGTGTGTGTGTGTGCGCGTGGCGAACTGTGCTGGTTGCAGGGGGGGGTAGAGGAGGAGGAGGAGGAGGATTGCATTTTGGAGAAAGATAAACAGAGAAGGGAGGGCATGGCCACTCAGTGTGTTTCAGCCTCATCCCTGGTCCCTTCTCTGAGCCTCATCACTGAAGTCACAGATGAAAGGCCGGACGTAGCCGCCCCAGCCGCCAGCCAATCTAGCCCTCTTTTAATGCAAGGTTAAGTGAGTCTGACTCAGCGTGTGATGCATATCGCCTCCCACGTCTCTTTGATCAGTGTGAGACAGTGTGTCACCAGCTGCTGATACAGGACTGATGTGAAGTGATGCAGGTATTGAATATATTTTTATTTTCTAATTCTCTCTTTAGGAGTCGGGCAGTGGTGAGGATGACCGCCGCTCCCAGCCCAGGAGGTGAGACACACACACACACACACACACACACACAGACTGCCATTCAATAACGTCACCAGAAACTGTAAGTTAAGAGTAGGACCACTAGGGGGAGACTGCGCATCAGATTTACAGTGTTTCCTCAATTACTGACCCACATTTTCTGTTCCAGTCCCTTAAAACATTAATGCATTAAAGCACAACTTCTTCATTTGACCTGCAAACAGCCCAAACCAAGACTGTAACAAATGGAAGTTGTGTCTGCTTAAAATGTTTCCCCCATTAGTGAGTAGTATCTATAGAAACTCCTGTCATACAAACACCAGTCTATTCAACAGATTCACATTGTCATTTTGTTCCTGTCCTACTAGTTACCCTGTTCAACAAGCATCTTATTACAACAGTTAATGTGAATAATACAATGTGAAAGCTATTGTTTTTGTTGGTGAAGACAAATATCTCTACATGTAATATAAGAACCAATTGATACCTTTTTGTGTATTACCCTTAAAATACAAAGTACATTTCACACAGCAGACCGAGCGTACTTAATATCATCGGAGGAGTGTACCCTGTGGCACCAACCATTGTGTTAACGTTTATTTTAAGCTTTCCTTAATAGTTCTTAAACAAATGTCTTTGTGTGTGCTGTTGTCAATATTTAGCGACTCCACTGATTTCACAGGCTGTGGTTGATTTGCATGATTGGACTTTGTGGTTGCGGTGCAGTCGATCGGATTTGCTTTTGATGTGTGTATCTGTAGCTTCATGGAACACGCGAGGACGTCACCGCTGTCATTGTGTTCGGATGACTCCGGTGGATTTGTCTTTGTGCTGTATCCTGAGCCCTCTACAGAAGGAAATACACTTTACACAGGACAAAGCTTTACACGTGTGTCTGAGTGTTCGACTTAGTCTTTGCTTCGAACCAGCAGCTACTAAACACGGGGACTTTGTCTTCGCTGTGCTGACGGCATCACTTTATATGTAATCCCAACTTTACAGCGTGTCCGTGGGGACGGTCACACACGGTCATCACACAGGGAGTGGAACATCAAAGTCTTTACAGCCTTTCCATCTTTAGTGGACTTTGTAAGGGACATGTGTGGACCAATCAAAGCTTTAAGAGCAATGTAAACAGCCTATTGGATTTTTAATGTATTGTTATCAGTAATAACTCCTATTGTTAAGTTGACACTCACTAATGCTGTCTGTAGCTGAGACTAAGACAGCGTGTTCATATCTTGGTCTGTGAGGCCAGTACAGGACTGTCCTGAGTGAAGCGTAGACGTCCTCTCAGGAGACTCTGGACATCACATACAGGATAAAACTGAATGCTTGGAACAAACTACACGATGTTCGTCCAAAACCTGACATAACGACAGATTTCAACTCCAGAATCTGTGTCTGTACCAGTGTTGTCTCGGCTTTGAACGTCGTTGCATCAGTTCTTCGTTGCGTCATTTTCTTTTTCTCCACCCGTGGGCTTTTGCTGCTGCCCAGGATCACACTCCGATTTCATTCATGCGTGTCTTGGACCCTGTCGCACTACATGAGCCCGGCGAGACCTCGCCTGGTGGAAAAAAAGCTGCTCAGGCTCCCACAGGTCTGGAGCCGTTAGGAGGGTCGAAGTCTCCAGGCCTGAGTCCTGAGCTCATTCACACAGCAGGGTAATGTGCCCAGACAAAAGGCTCAATTTAATTCTGAATACATGTATTTGCTCACACAGCCATGTTGCTAATGAGGCGATTATTGACAGTATCTTGACTTTTGGGGGTGTCTTCTGTCTTACATATGTCACCATTTGTGGACCTTCTGGTGGAACAAAAACATTTCGGGGTGGGTGGTAGCGATGTGCTCATGCTGAATCTACGCTACTACATATTTAAGGGGACAGAAAAGTAGTGAAAGCACGGATGTTTTACATCGTTTAATATGAACGTCCTGCATCACACATATATGGATTTGCACCAAAAACTAATCGCTTGTTCCTCTGGCCTATGGAATAACCTTCTGCCAAAAGTAAATCTTCCTCACTTAAATATGTGCAAACTGGTCTGAAAGCATGACCTCATTGGCAGCGGTAATAACATTGAATCCCCACATACACCATATGATAATAATTTCAGTTTATGATTGCAAATGGCCCTGGATAAGCCAGGGCCCTCTTGTGGAGCACCTCTAGTGCATGACACCTGGAACGCAGTGGAGTTTAACCCAAAGTGAAACGTACTATAACAGACTTTATGCAATGTCACACGTATATGAAAATTGAAACGTGGTGACATCACTCCTGCAAGCCTTTAACACACCCCAATAGTGCCAAGAAGGACATGTGGTCCCAATTATCTGTTAGGTAATGCAACAAAGCAGAAGCAGCTGGTGAAGTCGTGTGTGTGTGTGTGTGTGTGTGTGTGTGTGTGTGTGTGTGTGTGTG